CTTCAGTGGCGTTCATGTTAACGTTTAAAATGTACACCAGTCCCTCTTCCATTGCCTGTACACTTGGTGCTCATTAACCCCGGGACTACACATTCTGGTTAAAAATTTAAAGCAAAATTATTAAACAATTACATAAAACAGCAAACATGGAAATTGGCTATAGCATTTCCCCATGATTTTAAATGGCCTGCCGATAAAATCTCCTAAAAACCTAAAAATCATTCATAATGTCCCAAGTGTTTTCTTCTGGGAAGAAAACAAGAAGAAAGAGGAGCAGGGAGGAGAGCTGAATACCACTTTCAGGCACATGTTCATAAAAGCAGCTGCTTAGTTTTTAAAAGCAGTTTTGGGGCAGATAACAGTGAAATGTGGTTTTAATGTTTGAGTATTTATTTAGGGTTCCATACCCATCGATGGAAGGTTTTGTCTCAGTTTCTTTCTGTGAAGGTGCCTCCACAATTTTTCTAGCATCACAAGCTATTACAGTAACACACACACACACACACACACACACACACACACACAGGAACACAGCACAAGTCAGGCTGTGTAGACAGGATTCGGTGACAATGGGAACACGCACATCATTTCTAAATCGGAATGGCTGTCGTTGAGTTTGCCGACATTACCCGTGCTTTCTGCACACTGGTTTGAATTTGTGGCGCAGGTACTACTTACACTGCCTGTCTTCCCTTCTCTGAGGACCTTCCGGGAATACTCTCCCACACTATCAGCACCGATGTCAGTGGGAGTCGTGGGTTTGCCGAGGGCGCAGAATTAAGTTCATTTTAAAGAAATGGTTCAGAAGCTCATTCTGAAATTGCTAAGCTTGAATGAGGGACAATAAAGCACCCAAATGAGAAGCTGGAGACCCATATCTACCTACACAAGTGTGTAAAGGCTGAAGCTCATTTATTTGCTCTGTAAATCTGAATAAAGCTTATAAAAGATCACAGAGTCAGCTCCACAAATACAAAGCTCCAAGCAGCCCGAGTCTCAAGACAGAAAGGCTGCCATGAGCCTGGTGGCGTGCATGGACGCATCAGCCAGAAAACTCAGATTTTTTTTCACGTTGTCTTTTATAACCAGACAGAAGAATCTCTAGGTATCGCCAAATGGTTTGCATTTTATGGGGGTTAGCAAGCAGAGCGCTGTGAAATGCCATTTACTATTAAATAATTGATTCTACTGCCCAATTCACGCCAATGGATTTGCTTTGGTGAGCGTTCAAGTGTAAGAACTGTGGTTTTGCTTTGGGTATAAACGCTTGAAATAATAAATTCTTAGCAGGTGAGATCTTTTTGGTCTCTCTGGAATGACATGAGCTAAGGAATGATAATGTGTGATAGTTATTTCCAAATGGTACGAAGAGCAGCATGAAATAGCCCCTAATATAAGTGAAGGGCATACCTAGGCTAATTATGGGATCATCACCCAGGGGACCCCATTAGCTAGTTGGACCTCATTTCTACTGCCAGCAAGTCAATGGAAGAGGAGGTCTAAGACAAGATGGCTTAATCAATCAGTAATAAAAAGGTATTCAGTTAGTCTAACTCGGAGATTTCATAGCTGGGTTATAGACCAACCGGTCCCCACTGTCGTCTTCCTGACACACCATCCAGCAGCGTGTCTACGCACATTGCCAGCTTTTCCAATGAATCACAATAGGGACATAATAGTTACAGGGAACATGGAGAGAAATTGCTGCCAAGAAGAAAATGAAATATCAAGTTTTTGAAATAAAGATTCTTAAGCTTGAGAAACCATCTGTGTATTCTAGAAAAGTCACCCTACCTACCTCACTGGTGGCTAAAAAGAATCTCAACTTGATACTTCATCAAAAAGTGACTATATAATGTGAAGAAAAGAAATGCTTGTGTATTGTTTGGTGGGACTGTGAATCGTTACAGTCGCTATAGACATTCCTAAAAAGAATTTTAAATAGAATTATCATTGGATCCAGCCATCACGTTCTAGGTATTTACCCAACGAATAGGCAAGCACTAACTCAAAAAGATATATGCAGCTCTATGTTCACTACAGCACAATTCACCACACACCCAAGAAGTGCCCCGGGATGGAGGAACGGATAAAGAGGAGGTGGCATATGCACCAAACAGAACACTATGTAGGCATAAAAAGGTGAACTCTTATTTGCAACATGAGTTGACCTTGAGAGGATTACGGTAAGTGAAATAAGTCGAAAGAAGAAAGACAAATACCAGCTGATTTCACGCATATGTCTCATGTAAAGAAAATCAAAAAACAAGCCTTTAGAGTGACAGCAGAATGGCAGTTACCGGGGGGGGGGAGTGAGGTGAGACAGAAGGGGCGGCTGGTGGGTGAATGGGCAGGTGGTGGTAGAGGAGGTGAGAAAATATGACCTTGGAACCTATAGATTGCTACAAACTAATGTTACCTCAAAATACAACACAATGCAACACAACAAAACAAAACCCCTGGATCTCCTGCCGCACCCCTAGACCCCCCACCTCCGCCACCATGTAAAAGAATCTCAATCTGGGAACAGCTTTTCTTTTCCTAGAATCACCCTATCTGATAACAATATACTTTATCAGCAATCTCAACCTTCTGCACCCAGAGAGGGCCCTGCCAGAGTGGGGTATTTCTGGAAGGCTGGCTGGTCATAATCCTCACCCTCCTTTTGTGGACATTCTTTTGAATATTGTAACGTTTCACACTCTCAGAAGAGGTGGATTTGCTCTTTAACAGCCAAGTTAAGAGAATGTATGGGAAGCAAAAGACGGGTCATCTGTCATCCTGACACCATGACTCTGGATGACTTGGGGCTAAGTGCTCTGTTTTCCTTCCGTCTCAAATTATAATACACTGATTTGCAAAATTGCACAGGTATGTTAGAAAATTTTTAGTCAGTTCTTTGCTGCTGACATCTAAAGGAAAATTCACCAGAATATTGCTTTTAAAAAAGCAGGATTTCTATGAATTTTATTATAAAAGTTGTTTTTCAATCACTAGTTTGTTAATTTTTATATTCTCAAATTCTTCTATATTTTTAAATTTTAACAAAGCATATATATAGTATGTAATGTATGCAATTATGAAGTTATATATTCTTAATGTTTCTCAGAATAGTTGTCCTTACTGTAACTTATCTAGATGTAAAATTTAAGTATGATTTATAATAAGTTGTTTGTATCTGTGAAAGGATGATTGTGTTTCAGTGCATTAAATTTTTTTATTCTTCAAAACAAGGCTCACCTCTGATTTTCACAAGATTGGTTTGCCAACCCACCTCCTCCTGAGCCACCACACTCATGCTTGATGGAGCCTGACATTTTTAGAAGGACTTTGTTATGAGACAAACGTGTCTCTTCATCCACCATCATTGAAACCAAAGGCAAGAATCTCAAATTTGTTTATATTATCCCACACCAGCTACTTCCATGGAGCACAGCCCACTCTTTAATTTTCCAGACTTGAAAATTCACGTGTAGGTCATAATCAAACCACTGCACCTGCTGTAAGAAGTTCCCATGTGGGTTGTGACCCACACGTTGAACTTCCAAGCAGGGTCAAAATCCAGAACAAACAAGGACACATTCAAAAGTGGCCCATGGCGCTGTGCTTGAGTCCTGGACTGTACTAAAAACTTAGTTCTCTGTTTTTCCCCCTGCTTTCAACTAAACCGAAACCCTACACATGCCACCATCATTTGGTGAAGATCTTATAATCAGAGCAGCTTTCCTGCCCAGGCTCATCTGATGGTGGTGCTTGTTCTGCCTCTCCGGCAATACAGCCTGCAATCGCTTTGAAAATGGTGCAAAGGAAGTGCTTTCCATTAACTTCCAATTTATTCCTTTCCTATTGCGATCCTAAAATGAGCAAAAGGAATGTTAAGAACAGAATTTTAATGTAATTCAGTTGAAAAGGTTTGTTCCTCTGACAAAATCATGCTGCTGGGTAACATTCATTTTATTAAAAGGGAATCTGTCAAAAAAGAAAAGCAATTCAAGCTACAGGAGAACTAAGCTTTATGTATAAGATCCATTCCAGAAAAGTTGTATGGAAAATATTTGTGCATTGAATCATTTTTTTCTACTGACTTTTATTATAACTTTAGAGGTGTGCTCTGACAGAAAATACTTTTTGCTTCAGCACATCATTGGGAAAATCACACTAAGGAACTCATATTCATTTCCGGGGATAGTCTGCATTTGTCAACCTGCCAGCTTTATACATCGAATTTCCCCTTATGGTTTGTGCAACGTTTGCTGAGAAACAAGTAATTGAGCGTGATTGCACACATGCATTCATGGCAAGGTACATGCACCATAAATGTACGATGCACCGTCCACGTACAATGGCTAAAGCTCATGTCACTCCTATTGACCTCCCCGATGGTTCTGATAGAGACCTCACCTGCGCCAGGACTCCACGGAGCTAGTAGAATATACCAGCTGGACATGAGTCTCATATTTTCCCAAATGCTTTCAGAGCTAGTAAAAATTCCTGATTTGCATTTAGCGGTCAGGTTCTTGGCAAGGGTAGTTCGGATTCTCCAATAACTGATCATAAAAAAGTTAACCCTTCCATTTGAGAAGAACAAAGTGGCAGGGCTGATGTGCTCAGCCAGGACCTTTGTACCATTCTTAACACTGCTTGATCCCATGAGTCAATGTAAACTCCAAGAATTTATGCCCCAAATGAAGTTGCTAGCATGTTTTTCAAAACATTTGCTGCTAACATAGTAGGTCTGTATGGAGTAGAGTGTTAGGCAGAGGTAGATTTTCTGTGAGGCCAATGAAGCTTTAGGGCTTCTCACGTGGATGGGTCCCTCCCAAGTCTAACTTCCTCTCTTGTTGTGTTGCCTTCTCTTTCAGAAAGAGATCCAAAAATAACAGAAGCTCCAGGCCCCCCAAAACCTGGATTCCACCTGCCTTTAAGATCACACCACGATATTTTAGAGTACCTGATTACAGCACAGTAATTATAATCAGAGAGAATTTTGAGCTACTTACTCAAAAAAGGTGGTCCATCCAGTTTCATCACTTTTAGTGGCTAACAGGCCGCTGTTGCCGTGGTAAGTGAACAAAACTAACTCGAGGCCCTGGGCCGTCATACTTTTCAGACATCCATTGGTGCCAATGGTCAACCATATCACTTGGTTATCTGGAGACACCACCCGGACTGGCATCCGATTCGGGTCCCGCCGAATCCGAAGGGTGTTGCCGTTGCTGTCTGTCACGGCTGTGATGTCGTTGTCATTGCTGTAGCTGAAGTTGTACAGGTAGTCCCCGGTCACCAGGCTCACCGTGTACTGGTGAGTGCCGTTGATGTCAAAGATATAGAGCTCCTGGTCCGTCGGAGAGGCCACTTCATAGAAGTTCATCGAGCTCAGCAGAGGCTTGTTCTTGGACACGGCCCGGATGCGGATATTTCCCAGGTCCGCGATGTACAGCGTCCCGTCAGGAGAGGCGGCCAGGGAGGACGGGGCGTTCAGCTTGGCATCTTTGGCATAGCCGTCTCCGGTCTGGTAGCAGTCACAGTTGGCATCGTTCTTGCAGTCACACTCCGAGGGTATCCCCGCCACCAGGGAGATCTCCCCGTCGGTGGTCACCTGCCTTATGCGGTTTATTTTCTTTTCATCGGTCTCCGTGATGTACAGGACCCCGCTGTAGGACACCGCGATGGCAGTGGCTGATTCCAGGGTGGTCTGAACCGCGTGCTTCCCCACGGAATATTCCACCCCTGGCACCTGGCAGTGCATGGGCCGGCCAGCAGCGACGCGGACCTGGCGGTTTTCAGTGATCTGTAAAACCACATTATTATCCAGGACGTAAATGGAGTTATCCATCGGGTTAATGGCCAGGTCAGTGGGCCACTCCAGACGCACCTTAATAAAACAGAAATGTTCGGTGAGTCAGAGACTGCGCTGCAGTTAATTCGCCAAAAGAGTAAATTGGACCACTTGGCGAAATTACCCTTAATTTGATAAATGGGCTTAAAATTGTTTTTTGAATAGGTACTTATAAACTCAGAAGTTTTGAGTGGAGACAAATGGAGGAAATAATAAAATGACATTTGATTTAAAAATCCAGCTCATTGAAAGGTTTGCAGGCTAGAGTCAAACAGCGGCTGAAACACATGAGTTAGGAGCCATCACGTGATGGGAACACCTCGGCAGAGCAGCCACCAACTGTCGGGGCTTCCGAGGATGCGGACAGACCAGCCTGCAGCTGTGTCTTCAGTCAGGTCCGTGGAGAAGCGGCTAATTCTAAACACAGGACCCTGAGACTAATCATAATGAGTTCCCTTTACTTTGGAAGAAGCACCTACAATAGAAAGATTAGAGATTTTTAAGCTGCTTTGTTCTTTTTTGGAATATCTGTATGCTGCTACTAACTGGTATGACAAATTTTTATGACAAATGTTTCACATCTCCTCATGATAATTGTTCGGTAGCTCCTTGAATCCATCAAAGGCAGAATGATAGAAGGTTTTATCAGCTCCTAGCATTCGTTTAAATAGAGCAGCTTTATCAACAGCAACCCCCACACATGAACACAGGTGGATTCATGCAGGTGAATGAGCAGCAGCACAGCCTCTGCCGGAGCCAACGGAGTCACTTTGAGAAAAAACAAAGAGCCCGACAGGGGACGCCAGCTACCTGGCTGATGTGCATGCTGGTGTCGCAGGTCAAAGGTCGGGCTGAGGTCAGGTCGTTGGAGCCCAAGAGAGTCGATATGATTCCATTCTGATCGACTTTCCTGATCATGGTGCCATCCACAAAGTAGATTAATCCATTCTTATCAATCGCCATTCCTGTAGCCAAGAGAAGCGAGTGTTATGCCTTTTTCAAAAATGATTACTTTTGATTCAACTCTTAGTCCTGCCATGAAACTCAGTTTTCGACTCCACTGAGAAGGTGGGCGAGAGGCAGCAGGTCGGACTACAGATGGCAAACACCTCAGCAAATTCCCCAAAGGAGGCATTTCCAGTACAAATAAATGCAATACGGAAGAAAGAAGCCACGTTTTGTAGACTCGCCTCTTGGTATCTGAATCCCATAGTCAGTACCGTGTTTGAAAAGTAAAATGCTAATGTGTCTACAATGTTCTTGTCTCTAAATGATAGAAACAGGTCAAATTCTGTTACACTGAACTTAGAGTGACTATATTCTAACAAAAACCAGAGCTAAGCCAAGTTTTGTTGACCTTGTTACAATGAAATTTCTATTATGAATAATTCAGTACAACAAATACTTTTTTCCTAGTCCTTGTTCACATAATAGTTACTAGCTGTCATGAAAAAAGAAAGCCCTAACCCAAAAAAGCAATGTAATGAAAGGCCTACCCCATGAGCAAGGAGTCAGCCCTGACTGGCGTAGAAGCTACAGACCTTTTAGCACATAGAAGTTTAGCCCTTGTTACCTCCAGAAATTCCTCCCAGCAAGCATTTTTTCCCATGGCATAGAAACAAAAGTTTAATAGCTCCAAACTGGGCGAGGGCTAATAGGGTTGCTTAGTGATGGTTTTTAAAGAGGCCTGGGACTCATTCATGACAAAGAAATTCCAGGACAATGAAAGAATTTGGACGCTTCCTTGAAGTTGAACAGAATGTGACCTGAATCCCTTATAGAGGAGTTGCTTTATTCTTGGAAAAGAAAAAAAAAAAAATGGTATGATAATAAGACATGCCAAACACCTAATATTTACTGTAAAATCAAGTTAGGATTCTAGCAGCTTCATGCTAAATGGCTTTTTAAAACACAGGAAGTGAAACAGCTTTTCCGGAACACGGTGGAGGGTAAAACGTCAGACTCAGCATTAAATAGAATCAGGCACTAACTCGATTGTGTGTGTCTCTCTCTCTTTTTTAATAAAAAGAAATGCTCAAATTGATAAATGCAAGTACCTTTGGGACTCATGAGCGTTGCTTCCACTGCCTTCCCTCCGTCCCCACATCTGGCTTCATCAAATGGAAGGCACTGCTCCCCGGTCCCCGCAATCACTTCGGCATTTTTGGTTAAGTCTTTTGCACCCGTCAGTGACTTTGGGCGATAAATCCTGCGGGTGTTCGTGTCAGAAACATACAGATCTCCTGTGACTGGGTCAGTTGCAAGGTAGTATCTGTGGGCTGGGTTGCTGCTGTAAAGACAGATCGTACATGGACATCACGAGAGAGTTGAAAACACCGAGAGAAATGGAAGCAAAATAAAAAAGATCATGGGACATTTGACTGTGGATGGAAATCTGTCATCAAAGGCTGGAAAATGGACAGAAGAGTCAGAAAGCCTTGAGAGAAGGTGTCACTGGTGGCAATTTCGGGTCTGTCCCTGGCCCTGCTGTCCTGACACTAAGGGCTCAACAATTTACTAATTGTCATCTTCAAAGTAATTGCCGTCAGAAGGCAAATATGCCGCTCACCCAAAACAAAGAAGCAGGTGCTTCTACACCTATTTGGCTTGAAGCAGGCCACTAATAAATTGCACTTGAGTGATAGCCAAAGGCTTACTCCTGGAGGTGTCTACGTCACATTCTCCCACAACTGCTTTCACTGTCCCCTCATCACAGGGAATTCTCCTGTTTCCTACAAAGCCAAATCAAACCAACACCTGCTCCTGAAAAAATGCAGCACCGGGTCTGTCTTGGTAGCATTTATCACAATCCAGAAAGGTAATTTGATGCAGTTAGAGTGATTGTCCCGAGTGATGGGGTTAAACATTAAAATGAGGTATTCAAGTGCAGGCGCTGTCTCGGTTGGTGGCCTAGTGCTGTGAGTCAGAATAGATCCACCAGTTTTATTTTTAGTTTGTAAATTAGGCTGCTCTCAAACCTGTCTATGAATTTGGTGAGATACAGACATTTGTTCATAAAATGTAGTGCCTTGATTCTATAAATATAAAGTAATGCAAATGTAAAACGCTTTATGTCCCATTACTGAAAATGGGAAATGCAAAAAAAAAGACCAACATTATCAGGGAAAGGACAAATGATGGTGGAATTAAAAACTTGATCTCCTTACAGACACTCTCTACCATTTCACGCTACTATATATTGCGTACTACATGCAAATATCACCTTCTGAAAAAAAAAAAAAAAACAAAGGAGTTTACATGATAAGGTGAGTCCACAAAGAAGTGAACTACAGGAATCAATCCGATCACTTACCCCCCCAACACCCCATACACACATGGATAATTATATGCTTGTTTCTGCTTACTTTGTATGTGAATTCTAAAATCTGTAGCATGAATCTAACTAAGGGAAAATACCCTGGTTACTAGTGAAGGTGTAATGAACGAGTTCTTACTATGTAATGCTCTTCCTCTGAAGAGGTAAGCAGATGTACTTCACTTTCCTGGCCAAAGAATAGGTTCTGTTTCCACCAGGGTTTCTCACCATGGTGGAGGGGACAGAGGTGACATGTGGAGGGGCAGGGACCTTTGGGGGCTCTCCCAGCTTCTATGGCTGTGATGATGCTGACAGATACTGAGACCACGAAGGCCTGAATCCCTTCAGTTTTGGGGTCTCCTTCCTAGTGTTTGATCCCTTTTAGTGACAAGAGGCAGACCAGAGCAAGGATCTTGAGGGTGCAGACACATATGAAAGGGTGTAAGTGATACAAAGAACTATGTGGAATAAACGCATTTCAGGACTGCTGGGTTATACCACATGCTCAGCTTGCTGAGTGTCACTGTCTCATTATTATCAGCTGATGCCTGAAATTTTAAATGGAGCAAGACATAATGTGTTCCTGAATGTGGTGCTTTATTACTGTGTCAAGTGCAAAGTTACATATCCCAATATACTATTCAGAACTGTTTTATAGAGGTTTGTTCTTCTACAAACGACTCGATATCACAGGGGGTGGGGTACAGGGAGTTGGTGGCAGAGCTCTAGTTGAAAGACATGGCATTGGAGAGCCTTTGCCAGTCCTTCCTAGCTAGTTTTCCACAGCGTCCCTCATTTTGGCAATGAGCCGACAGACTTTGACACTGTCCACCTGCTAGGTGGACTCTGGCTGCAGGACACAAGTTTTCTTGGTGCACACGTAATGGCCATTCAAGTCACTAGTGTTGCCAATACTTGCATCGGTTTTATCCTAGTGAGCGAGTAAGGGAAGGCCCAAAGCTGAGCTTCTATTTCCTACTTCCTGTCTGTAGCTTCTCCTTCCCTGAAGACAGAGAAACCCAAAGCCACACCTGTCAATGCTTTGAAAAATGTCTGCCAAATGAGAGCTCTATCTTGCACACAACTCGAGAATTTGTCCAGCAGCACGGAGGTGGTGTGTGTGCACCAGGAGACTCGCTTTGGAGACACTCCCACAGATGGGGTCCGAGGACAGGATAGCTCCCTGCCGTGTGGCCTCACCACACAAGTCACATCCCAGCCTCTTCTGATAAGAGGGGAAAGTCCCAAAGTCCAGAAAGTCAAAAAAGCGAGTGTGGAAATTTCTGGTTGACAGAGAAGCATCTGCGCAGGGACTGGGTGCGAGGACGCCACTCGAGGGAGCATCCTGACAGGTCAGCTGGAACTTGCGCTCAGCTCCCTGGAAAGGCAGCCCTCAAGAGGCAGGGTGGTGGGAAGGTGGGGCTCACAAAACAAATGGTTTGGGGGAACTGCTCAGCAGGAGCTGAACTCAATTCTTAGGTGATTGAGATTTTCATTTCAGAAAAGTTTAAAATAATAGTAAGATGGGGGCTAACAGCAGAATCGAAGAAGCTGAGCTCAAGAGAGGAAGCTCTTTATAAACTGTGCCTTGATTTGTGACTCATCCTGGATTTCCCAGACCTTCCCAGTGTCAGGCATCTCCTCTATGGTCTCATTCGGGTTGTGGAGACCAGATGGCTCGTTTCTTTGGTCCTAATTCAATTTTCTTAGGCTAAAGAAATACTCTTTAGGAACATGCTCCATTACCAGCACTTGAATCTTATCTGCTGAAAATTATGTCCTAACCCTAGGAATATGGAACATTTGAAGAACAACAGAAATTACATTTAATGTATAAAAGTTAAGTTGCCTATTTTCTGGCCACCAAGGCTTTGTATTATTGCAAGCAGGGCTTTGGAATATGGTATTTTTGTGCCTGCTTGACTTTTAGCTCTTTATCTAAGAAGTGCAGAATCTAGTCTTTGCAATTTTGGGTCTACACTTTAATTGACTCAAAATCACAGACCTGTGATTGACACTTTCTTTGATCCTTTAATTGGTGATATAAAACTCACAAAGTTGACTTTTAGTCCTCCATGTTTAAATGCCTCTTGGCTAGTATTAATTAATTTAAGTTTCTTTATTTTGGAAGTTTAAAGAAATGGAACGGGGATGAGCTAAAATCTACTATTTCCAAAAAGGGTTTGTTGGCAAACTAATGCTATACCCATCATAGGGGGAAATGGTTAGCATCACTAAGAGACATTTTAAGCATTCCAGAAGCTTCCAGTTATGTCAAAAAAATTTAGTACGTTGGCTGAGTAGTAGTTATGGCTTTTATTTGACATAGTATACTGGCAGTACTTATAAATATGGTATAACAAGATACTCTTATTTATTTTGTCTTTTAACATTTTATTAATGATACCCCCCCATTAGCCCAATTAATGATACTGCCGATAACATATGAAACATGGAAGACCATGTGCTTTTCGTATTTTATTTGATTGTTAACAACTGCCAATACTGTTCATTTTTGTAGATTTAGACACATTTGTCAGTTTCTCTTTTTCTTTATCATCTATTCCTCTAACAACTTCTACATTAGCTGTGGAAGTGCAGCTACAAAGAAAGCAAGATAGGATCCTATGAAAAGCCTATGAGGATGATAAAGGTTGGAAAACAGGAAGAGGCATGAGAAAAGAATTGCAATTTTTATTCTTAGTAAAGACACTCCAATAAGCTGAAATATCTTGCTCTTGTTAAGTCAATTTTGAATAATTAATTATCAAGCAAACAAAACCCCTAACTCTGTCAATGATTTTCTCATCCATTTGATGACTTTGGCTCAAGACCTTGAATTCCAGACCTCTGGCTCTTCCTGTTCTTTGTCATTCACCTACTGTGTACGTGTTCCCTGCCTTCCTTTGTCTTAGGGGTTGACTTCCTTCCTTGCTGGCCACACTATTTAGGTACATAGCATCACGGCCTTTATTGCAACAACTTTCTAGCTCATCTCCAAGGCTCCTGGAACATGGTTACCAGCTCGATCTTGTTCCAATCAGGAAACGATTGCCCACAGTCCTGTAGGATGGCAGAGTAATTCCTCAGGGCATGAGAGGTCCCCACAGTCTCACCCTCTGCTGCCTCTCTGCCTCTGTCTCCACTGTCACCCACCAGAACCCCTGCCCACGTAGGTGATTCCTGCTCACCTTTCTCAGACTCAGTAACTGTGCTTGCTCCTCTGTTCTTTTTCCGTGACTACCCTCTGTTCCTCTTCTTAAGTAGACTGCATTTTTGGATCTAGATCAAACAACTTTTCTTACTACCCTGCCATCTCCCAGTGCTCTCTCCTTCTAGAGAATTACTCAACAACAGTGTGAGCCGTAGAGATGATCAAGTGTCAAAGCACAACACTGGTCATATTATTTGTTTTGTGTCAGATAATCCGCCGGTGAGTTCTGACATCATGTACTTTGTCTTATACCACCATTAGTCACAGTGCTACTAGCAAAAGAGAAGCGACCAGCTAACAGAGTTAATAATGGTGAACATCAATATAAAACCCAGTGTATTTCACATGCAGGGCACATACGGGAAATGGAATCCAAATTTAGCCACATAACACACAGAGGAGGGAGGTGGAAGTGTCATGAGAGAAGAATGACAGGAGTATCACCTCCAAACACAAGTCCTTAATGTGTTCATATTACACAGTATTGTTGATATTAATGTGGCTCTAACCTCCAACAGATTTTTTTCACAGATAGACTTGAGCTTATAAAATAGAGAAATTATAGACTCTAGCTTATAAAATAGAGAAATTATAGTTCTGTGTTATTTGCCCAATTATTATGAAATAAACCTAACTTTCTGCATACAGGGATTTACACTGGCTGTGTGGTGTAGGGGAAAGGACACACTTTTTAGAGTGGTTCAAATCTCAGCTCCCCTTTCTTAGTTACGTATGGTAGGGAGATACAGAACCTCCTCGAGCCTCACTCACCTCCTCTGTTAGCCTGAAGAACTGTCGTGTGGATCTGCAAGAACGTATCTCAAATATCTAGCACTGCACCCGGCTGGTGGTAGAGGCAGCGTGTCTGAAGGTAGCTGCTTGGGTGGCTTGCTCTGTATCACCTCTGGCCCTGTTGGTTAGTCGAGACACATACCTCCTGGCCTTTTGTATTTCTCCCAGTTACCAAGAAAGCAAGGCCAAAAAAACATTTTGATATTCTGCTGTGCTTTCTCATCACAGAGCTTTGCATGCTTAGTCATCTAGAGAAATTTAGTGTTCAGCTTAGTGTGTGACTGAGCTGCGAGCTGAGAGTAAGTGAACAGGGGATTTCAGGAAGAGGATATGGGACCAGGTCCGGTCATGTTGACAGGCAACAGCCACGTGTCTCTCAGTAGAAGTTCGGTTTTACTAGTTGTCAATCTCTACATGACAGTTTAAATGGGTTATGGTGACTTTCATCTCAAGGATGTCCCTAAAACATCATTAATTTTTCTATCTGAAGTCATTTCATCATGTATTTGAATGGCCAGATTAGATCTAGCATGTTGACACGGCTTGCTTTTTTCCTAGCTTCACCCCTCCCCTCTACATTGCTGTCCCAAGGGAAGTTTTTAGTTAAAAGTGCCCACACATAAGCGTCTACTCTCTGTGTCCAGTTAAGTGCACACAGCACTGAGGAGATGAAAAACTTTGGAGCTGACATATTTGCTTCAACTATATTCATCCTTAGCTTTGCAGAAAGCCTTTTCTTCCAAAATAGTAATGTCAGTGAAAACATCACTTCTTGAAAAGTGAGACTTATAACTCTCTCAACTTAGGAAACTAGAAACTGTAGGTGGCGAGGAATTTACAAGGCACTTAACAAAGCTCCAGCCCTTAACAAAGCTCCATCTTCCTATGCGGGATATCTTTCCAAGCCCAGCGAGGATGTGGGCAGCATCTTCACATGATCTTATACATGAAAAAACTTGCCAAAGTAAAATAGTTGTAGATCTTTTTTCTTAAAGAATTGAAGTCCCTCAATTGGGCATTAAATCAGGATGTGATCAGGGTAACAAACTAAAATCTCCTTAAATTTTTCTACAGTACTTTGAAGTTCTGTTCAATATGGCTTAGCTTATGTGAGTCAGTAATTGGAATATGGAAATATCTTTTGTTATGCAGACACATTCATTATAATATTTTTTTCTAATAAAATTAATTTTTAACCAACTGGAAACTATTTTTTCAAATGATGTTGCATAATATAATTTGCAATCTATTGCATAGTAATAGCTCATTTAAGCAGTTTGATTACTTTGATGTTCTGTGATACTGCGTTTCCTCTCTCATGATAAAATGTTCTTAGAAAACAATGCCAGAAATTCACATGGAAATGCAAAAAGGACATCTGAAAATATACCAGAACCTTTACTCACAATGCTTACCTATGTCTAAAATCTTTATTTCTTGGTGGAAGCAGATAAAAAAGGTGAAAAAGAAAGCACAGTTAGAAAAAGTCTATAAAATATGAGTTGAATACTGAGAGTTCAATTATTTATATGGAAAATCACCAATGTAAGCAGAAATAACACTGGAAATAAATTGCATAGGCCAAGACTTACCAAATAATTTACAGAATAGGATGATTTTGAGAATAATGCTTAAATGAGCAAACTAAAGACAACAATTTATTACTTTATTGACATTTTAGCTAATGGGATAACTCAAACAGAAGCTCCAACACTCTAGCTGCAAGTTACAACCTGAGTTTGTTGACTATTATGTCCTGTTATTGCTGGAAAACATTTTTTTGGCCTCAATTTCAACCACCGTGAAATGAAAGAATAACAACATTTATCACAAGAATATTCTAAGATGGCTAAAGGGACTTATTCTACCAGAACACGGAGAATTCATTAGAATCAGTGAGACATTTTCTGTATGTGACAACTTTATAGTCTTTTATACACTTATGCTACCACAAATGTGTGTGGTGTCTTGACTAACTCACAGGAATCTAACTTTTTTCTAGGGAGAATTTTAAACAGTGGGAAGGTATGTGTAATTAAATAGGTTAGTACATTCAATTCAAGGTGTCCAAAATAAAAGCATGATTAGCTTCGATGAAAATCCCAGATTCAGGAAAGACATACCTTAGTTCTAAAACGCTGGTTACATTTCCAGAAGGGAATATGCGCCGAACATAGTTGAAATCCCCTACGTACAGGCTGCCATCGATGCCACAAGCTAACGCGACCGGGGCCAAGAGTTTATTACCATCAGCCTGGCCATTGCAACTGGGGCACGAGATACTGCGCCTGCGTCCATTGCCCATGATGCTGCTGACCACGGGAGGTTGTTGGGAGATGAACTGATTCTCCCCATTTCCTTTGTACAGGATTCCTAAAGGAAGTAAAATGCATTTTCCTTGTCATATGAAGTGTAAAGAAGACAAGAAACATTCACTATAGATCTAACTAGAATTCAGTGCCTTTTAGATTTGGACTGGGAAAACTTTCATTTCAAGTTCTATTGGAAAGAACTCCATTCAATGAGCGAGTGTAAAATATTATATGACAAAATACCTAGGATATATATCCCCAAATGCTGTTTGTTATGGATTTAAAGAGAGTTTGGTGGATCCAGAAAGAAAGGGCTAGCAAGAAAAATTAAAACCCCAAGTTCTCAATGTCGGTGGTTCTTAAACTTGGCTACACATTGGAACTGACTGAAGAGCTTTAAAAAAATACATATTGTTGGATCTGGAAAGTCTGATCTGATGGGGTGTGCCTGGTCATTGAGATTTTTCACAACTCTTCAGGGGATCTTTTCATGCAACCAAGTTTGAGAACCAGGCTCTACAAAATGTTCTTTAGGGAATAACACATTTGCCTAATTGTTAACTGATGTTGAAAATATTGTATAGTAATTTAATTAATAAAAATAAACACCATGCATGCATATTTCTTCCTGATGAGTTTATCAATGATTTTTAAAAAGTAAAAGAAGCTTTCTGAAAACCAAGTTAGAAACTATATGTCAAGCCTCTGATATCCTACTTGACTGTAAAAAATCTTATAGTCTCATCTGATAGATGACAATATAGACAAGCAAGTATTCAAAATTTCAAAAGTAAAAATACTGTTGTGGAAAGGCAACTGATTTAAAGTGAACACAGCTTTAGGCATGAAAGTGCTAATAATTTTAAGAAGACAAAATGCTAGTGTGTTCTTTTTTTTGCTGGAAATCTGAGAAAAAAATTCCAAGTGAGTATTTACTATTTTCAGAGTTAGAAGATCTGATTTTGTTCATTGCCATTATCATATATAGACCAGTGGTTCCATTTTGGTTGACTGTGCACTGGATCATTATCTGCTACTGGTCCATACCTGTTTATGACACTTCACATTGTGCTATTGTTTGCACAGCCACCTGCACTTTCATTTTGGAGCAGTACATATAATACTTATTGAACATGCTCTATTTTAAAGCAGTTCTTTGGCCAATGCTTATACTTTTATAAGCAGATATACTATTAAAAGAAGCAATCCTATGAAAGAACAAACAGGAAACTTGAGAAAGTAGGTTTTCCTCCCACCTTGGAATAATTTTAGTGAAGAAGAGAGTGGAATAATTACGTTCCCCTTATAGCACAGCCCATTTTAGGTGGGTTCTATGATTGCGTTTTTAACGCCCTGCTATTTGGGTGATGTAATAATCACAGCAAATTTACATAAGGAAATCAGGAAAAGTAAAACAGGTTTATTCAAATTTTTAAAAATAATCTAAATAAGGATGGATCATAACAACAGATGAAATAAATTTTGCCTTGAATATTCAAAGAATACCGTAATGATCCCTAAGAGCCTTCTTTCTGTGATTACGTTATTTGACAATTATGGGACTATAATTTTCTATAAGAGCTAGTTCTGTAATTTTCATCAGAAGAATCCTACAAGTCAGCCTACTGCTCCTGATTTATTCCGTCATTACTTTGAACGATTGGTCCTTCATGATTCTCCTCTATTATGACAGAATAGAAAGATGAACATCAGAATATTTATTTCCATGTTTCGGGATGCCTACACAAACACCTGTCACTGTCTACATTTTTGCCTTCTCTTCCCTCTTAATATATTTTCATAGCTCATCCACCTTGTCAGGATTACAAATCACTTTGTTTATTCAATTAGACGCCTGTCACTTCGAAAAGCCACTACCTGTCAACCTGTTCTTGGATAAGATTTGAAATCGCAATAATTTTACTCTGAGAATTAGGTTACCGCACATAAAAAAAAACCACACACACATAGAGTTCATACTTCATAACATTGTTGGAGGGCAGAATTTTGGGTAGTCCAGCTTTTATATTTGATGCGATATCTTAAAAAAAGGTAACTATATGTTATTCTGGTTGGGTGTGTTTATTTTTATTATAAACACATATCTAGAATATCTGTGAGTTTCCTGATCCATGTGAATGCCATAGTGAATAGGGTTGTCATCGGGTGCTGACTTATAGAGGTATGGCTTTCCTGGAGCACAGTCTCTGCTTGAGCTTCTACTACTGCTTGATAATCTCTTGGGTGGAAAGCTGGGGTTACTGCCTGAACTTATCCTATATCCTCACAGTAACCAAATGCACCTAGAGAGGCTTTGCTTGTAAAGAATTTCTCGAAGAATACAGCAATATGTCAAACCATGTGACATGGAATTGAAAGAAATTTAATCAAGAGTGCCACCAGCATGGCTGGCGCGTGGCTTTGCCCTTTGAAAGCCCTGCCTTTTGTCAGCACCGTGCAGGTGGAAACTCACTGAGGATTGGGGGGACACATGAGTTCCCTCTTGGGGGGCAGGCCCCCCTCCCTCAATGCATGTGCTGCCTGGGGCAGAGTCCTGGTTCTGCTCCCAGCCTCCTGGGGTACAAACTGTGCTGGGCCATCGGATGCCCAGGACAGCACTGGGACGGGAGGAGAGCTCAGCACTTACAACCAAGGAAAGGCATGAAGAGTTTTCTGTTGAGTTTTATTTTCTGACTACTGATTTTGCTCAGTTGGAATTTCTCCAAGAATTCTTCTCATCTAGAAGTAAGGCACCCACATTTTCTAGCACTGACCTGGAAACCACCTTAGATTTGGAATCACAGGAAATTTAAGTGTGTTCCCTCCAACTCCCATAATTTTTTTTTTTTAACAAGTATGGGCATCAAAGCGACGTTAATCTGAAAAAGTGACGGATGACAGCTAAACATTTGATCATACTGCAGTCAGCTGGTGGTCTGCACCGCCCACAAACCTCTACCATGTCAAAATCTACATCCTGTCACCAGGATGGAGAAGTCTCCTCACTGACTATTTGAAAGGAGATTAGAGGTTCTACTGAAAATGTTTATAGCAGGGGCTCGAGTAAGTTCCCTCAGAGTTCTGCTTTTCCGGCAGAAAATCTTTAAATGACCTGTGAGCAGAATCTTAGAAATTCAGTAAAAGAAAATGGAATGTGTTTAATATAAAAAATATTCTTTATGAGATTAAGCAGGTCACATATTGCCAAGTAGTTATGTCTTTTTGTTTCTACTTATTTGAAAAATGTCTTTCCCTATTTGAAATATGCTTTTTCAGAGCATTTTACTTAGAGGATAAAGACAACTACTCTTGATTCCTCTTTGAATCAGATAATTCATTAATTTTCTCCAAATACTCTGAGTCAACGAATAGTATACATAACCCAATTTGCGTGGGAGGATAATTTACTTCTCAAGTACAATCTAAGAAGAACTGAAAAAGTAAATCTAAATATTCAATGAGAACTGACTAGGATTAAGATCTATTGGATATATCTGGTAAAGACACATAGAATTTTTTTTTAAAAGATTTATTTATTTATGTGTACAAGAGCTGGGATATAGGCCAGAGGTTTGAGGGGCAAGAGGATTCACCAGAGACAGAGTGGGGAATGGAAGAGGCACATCGACTGAAATACACTGCTGAGGGGAGCAGCGGGAGAGACAGGAGAGATCTGCTGCACCATGTGGGTAGCTCCCTGGCCGGCTGGGGGATTGAACTGGTGCTGCAATGGCTGCAGACAGCTTCATTGGTTGTGTATCAACCCCTTGCGGCACCAGGGAGTTCCCCTGGAGTTTTATTTTTTAAAGACCATCTTCCCTCCATTTCTGGAGAGCCTTTCTTTCCAATGTAGTTTGTATCAATCACTGACTCAGTGTAAAGTGAGACCAGTGCAGATGAATCGGTGGTGAAAATGTCCACAGAGCAATGTATTGAACACTAGTAGTTTCTATTTCCAGTCTTTGCAATCTTTAAAATATACATACATGTGTGTTTTCCTACTAATTCTCATCCTACAACATGTAGAGGATAAAAAGTGACTGTGATCTTATTGGTCTGAAGCAAATACTGTAGCTGTGAACAAGACCTTACCGTTCTGAACATCCAGAACATGATGTTTATCTAAAGTCCAACCACCCATGTTGGATGCATCCAGTTCATAGCCTTGCAAAATGGCGGTCCTCTTTTCCCACAGGGTCAGGTCCAAACACGACTCATACTCGTATCCGACGGACACTGGAATCAAAACAAATCCCAGTTCACCTTCTCAATGACAGGCGGAAATGCAACTCTTGCTATTAGTTTGATAAAACTGTTTTTTTCACAATTGGGTTCTGAGATTATATGGCCACATATTTTTGAAGTTTAGTTTTTAATGTAAGAGGATTTGATCTTATAAAAGACATTTTTTTCCTAAAAAATAAAAGATGTCCAATTGCTATTTTTCTACGACTTAAATAGAAAAGTAGTGTTTTGCCTCCATAGCGCTCTTTCACAGGGATTCACAGCCCAACGAGAGGTTCAGAATGAGCAACTGGGCAAGCTGTGAGAACAGTCCAATCAGCCCCAAATGGTGACTAGGTGATAGCAACTAAAACTAATGTTTGCCAGCTAACTAATTAGAGCTATTTAGTTTCTAAGTGTATTGAGTTGTGGAAAATATTTATGACAAGCAAGATTCAATAAGCAAAAAAGATAGTCAGATTATGACATTATATTCACATGTTATTATGAGGAATAAAGAATAAAAGTAGCGGTAAATGTACGTGAAGGATCACAAAAGAAAAACTTCATAGATGACAGTGAAACGTGAATTTTAAAATTTAGAACAAAGTGAAGGGAGAAGTAGCAATTATCTGATTGATTTGAATTAATTCACATCCAAATTATATATTAGACTCGCAATAAATGGCTTTTATATTTTCAGGTAAAAAAATAATAGAAAAGAAACCATGTTATTCTTCAGCTTTTGATGTTCTGAGCCTTAGCGCGAAGCTACACTATATATATCTCGATGTGTCAGATCCTGATTGCAGTGTCCAGCCATTCAGTGAAATAACTGGCTTGACTGATGTTTTAAGAATATCCTTCCATTGAATTGACAGGTCCTTCTAGTCAAAAGAACTGAAATAATTCTGGATACAAAGGCTGTCTGAGCTCTGTTGAAATATCATAATGAATTGGAACTACATTAATTCCTAGTGAAAACAAACCACAAAACTAGGATAAGGAAGAAAGGAGAAGGAAATCCAAAAGGATAGAAGAAAATGTAAAATGGATATAATAAGGAAAAAAGAAACATAAAAAAAGGATCGACAACCTGAAATCTCAGAACATTCTTATAAGATGTAATTTCAGCCAGAAAAATGGCTATTTTCTCTTTCTTATCACACAGAATACATTCCTTTTCTCCCTGGGACATCTGAACCAACCAGCTTGTAACTTCCCTAGGACAGCCTCACTGCCTTCCTCTCCAGCGAGCCACGGACTTCCAAGGATTACAATTAATTTTATGTTGAATTTTATGTTAGTAATTTTATGTCAGCCCTTTTAATGCATTTGTATAGAGCTTACCAACAGCTTCAGACAGACCATACACCTTCTGATTATACGCATCTGTTTTATCCCATATGAAAGTGTAGGCCAAGTTCGGGGAGGCGGGAAACCACTTCTGGAAGAGTCTTCCTACCACAGCAACCATGAGGTGAACCTTCATTAAGTTAAACGGTATCACCGACTGGGTCATGGTGATCTTGAGGACAGACTTATAGCCTGCAGCCCTGGAGCTCAAGTAGGAAAGTTTCAAGTCTGTTCCTGGAATCGTGGTTTCTTCGTGGAGCACCTAGGTTTGAATAAAGCAGAAGCTTCAAACTGTGGTCATGTGCACTGAGATAAAGTAAATTTCAACGACCTTAGCTGAGCAACTAACACTGGTCACAGACACTATCCAGTAATTAACAATAATTGTGGGCCTCCCTGGTGCCCTAGCGGTTGAGCCTCAGCGCTGTCACCATGTAGCCTGAGTTCGATCCCTGGCCAGGGAGCTACCCTCATGGCGCAGGAGACCTCTCCTGTCTCCCCGCTACTCCCCTCAGCAGTGTATTTCAGTAGGTCCACCTGCTCTGTTCCCCACTCTGTCTCTGGTGAATTCTCTCACCCCTGGCACCACTCGCCTACCCCAGTTCTTCTACGCAAATAAATAAATAAATAAATTTTGCTGCCAGCCAATGTTTCCTCCTCCGAAAGCCTCCTGTCGTTTCTCCCACCCCCTGGAGCAGGAACGCCGCTCACACAGAGCGCTGTGACCTCGGTCGGGCTGACATGCATTGACTTGTTAGTTTATACTCACAGTGGAGTCTCACTAACCCATCTTTCACCCCAGTCGCCCTGGAGAATTGGAGCAGCCGTTTGTAAGATGGTTAGCTGAGAACAGGGCTGCCGAGGCCAAAGATCTGGCCCAAGCCAGCTGGCTCATTTAGGGATTAAACCTGAGCCCAGGCCTCCTCAGCTGATTGGCTACAGTCTCCAAAGGCAGTGAAAAAGACCAAGGCATTTGGGTTAAATTGTAGCAAATTCTGTCTCTGTAACAGCACATTCTCACAGTTACTGAAACAGAGCTAGGACTCAATGCCAATTTTTGATAAGATGGTAAATGAGCTAATATTTTAAAACTCTGTACATCCTCTCTCCCCCACCTTGGCCCTGAGACCAGTGTGCTACTGAAAGCACATACAGAAGTCACTCAATATATATGTTTTCAAATTGAAACTGGCCTGTAAACATAACTTACTACACATGATTCTCTCCTACATTTTTTTTAAAGCCATATTCTTAACCCTACAATGTACACATCAAAGAGACCAGCTCAATGAATGCCAATAAATTTATACTGACATGACAGAACATATTGTGGTAAAATGTTCTCTAATTATTTTGAAGTATGTATTTCAACCGAGTACAGCAAATCTTTCCAAACAATTTGAATGGTCCTGTTAGCTGGGCCAATAACAAAAGCTCTTTGCAGGCTCACTACACAGAACCCGGGCCAGGTGGTGACCACTTTCTCCACTAAGAATTAAAAAGCCTTCCCCATGGTCTCCTAGATTGTCCTATTAAGATTCATTACTCAGACATAAAGAACTGCCTTTTCATGTTAGAAAAATCTTAGCATAATCATTTAATGTTCAGTAGCGTTTCCTCTCCTGCCAACCCCTCTCACAGACAACAGTTAGGAATGATGTATATCTGTCATCTACAAATTTTAATATTTTAAATAGAACCCTTGATACTGAGGGTGTAGCTGTCAGTTTCAATATAAACCATCACACAAACGAGGCACAAACGAACAAGCTAAACAAACCTCCTGGCTTAAGCCAAAGAGTTTTGCTCAAATATCTATTTTGCTAAAACATATCTTCTGTTCAAGATATATGGACATATGGAAACTTTAGAGCACTATCAAACTCAGGGAAACCATTAAATTTAAGGTTGATAGCATTTTTAGGGCTGCAGGGTACAGGGTTAGTAAGCAGCATTCACTGTTCCCCATCATTGGGGTGCAATACCAATGGATTAGTTCAAAAACTAGTTTCTGCAATTCTTGCTTGGTCCTGAAACTGTAAGTGATTGCACCCTAAAGCAGATCATTTATTTCTTATTTTTGAAACAATTTTTCATAAATCTGATAGGTTTTCTGTATATAAGGTGGTCTTGCATTAATATATATTTCCTGGGACATTCTCAGAGTCTTTATTTCAAAATTTCATGGGTTAGTCCTAATTTTAATAACTGATGACAGTCTCTTATCATTGCTAAACCTACCTCTGTGGCATAAATACCTGTCACTTAGTTAATTAAAACCGGAATTTCTCTATCTAGTTTAACTTGACCGTGTTATTTGGCATTTGTGGGGAAAATAAATCCAGCCAGACTGGGAAAATAAACTCAAGCCTATTTCTGCCAGCTGCCTGATTTGGGGAGCATTTCACTCTCTCCTAAGCATTCAGTCAGAAGCCACATCCTGTCCATCCTTCCTTCCCAACTCTTTTCTCCATCCCACTGCTATACCCGAGCTTGTTCACTCACTTCTCTGTCATCCTTCCACCAAATACGCATTTTGTCACTTGAGTTAGCTTTAGAAAAATAACCAAAAAACTTCACTAGTTCCCTGGCTCCATGTTGCCCAAAGAATCCAAGGTGTCCAGTGTCTGGTATTCCAGGGCCTTCCATAATCTGGTCCCAGGCTTTCGTCTCCAGCCTTGCCTGGTCTTCCATGACTGTGACTCATTGCCATCCTTCACCCAGCCACACCAGCTGGCCTCTTAGCCATTTCTTAAACAAGCCAAGCATGTTCACTTGGCCGCCATTTTGAGCTGGCTCTTGGCTCTGCCTGGAACATCCTCTAGTGTCAGGATTTGTTCTTTCACTTCCTTAAAGTTTCTGCTGAAATGTTCTCTTACCGAAGAGATCTTCCTGGAATACACTTAATGCAATTGCACCTTCATCCACTTTACCCTGCTTTGTTATTGAGTAAGTCTTATTCACAACTGACATATATTTATACATTTGTTGTCTCTCCTCGTTAGCTGGTAAGCAGGTATCGACCGGTTCTTGGCTGTGTTTCTCATCACAGTGCCTGTGCAGAACAGGATTCCTACAGATATCTGAGGAATGAAGGTGACAGAACTGCCACATATTTGACCACATATTTTTACTTAGCTACTTATGCATAAAGTTCATAATGATCGTACTAGTGTCCTAGCTCTAAGATCTGAAAGTTATTTCTTAATGGAAACACACAGGGAGAAAACAAGCTCCCAATATTTCAGCAGATAAAATGAACAGTGGAAGTATATTTATTTTTCATAATTGTATGTTTTCTTTTTTCCTGTGGGGAATAGGGCTTTATGAGCCAAGCTTATTAGAGCTTAAGATAGGATACCAATAGTTTTAGATAATAATATCCTGTGGAAATTAATAAACATTTCCTGTCAAAACCTTCTTTTCTACAACATTTCTTACAATAATAAACAGGAAATTATTGGAATAATGACCATGCACAATGGTATTAGGTGTGAAGTCAGGTCCACATAGGCACTAAAAACCGTTTCCAGTGAACAGATGAAGGAGCAAAGCTGTTTTTTCTACTTGGTTATAACTAATAAACATATAGCGACAGATGCTACAGCTATTGTATACAGAGGTGTACCTGAAGAAAAGGTATTCTAATAACAATACTATAATCATATACAGTGCTGTAAACCAATGTCACCTCCATAGGAATTTAAAAAATTACAAGCACCACCCACTGTAGCACATACACACACCATATTCTAGATCTGACTCTATGGAATTATCTAGGACAGTGTAGGAAGTCTGCCATCCTTTTCTAAGATTCTTTGGAAGCCACATGATCTGAACATAGGTTCTTTGAAAGCACTGTCTGCAAGAATATTCTACCTGTGTTTCAGGAATAATGGGACTGTCTTCAGGGGAAGATCTGAAAAAGGTAGATAAAGGTGATGACACAATGATAGGATTTGGCCTCACAAATCCACTCAGGTCACAGCTGGGAATGTCATTCTCTTCTTTCTTCATGACTAGGGTGTCCATCACATAAAACACATTCCAGGGAATCCACACCGTATGATACTGAGTGAGGAATGGGGATCTCTCAAACACCAAGGTCAGAGAAGCTCCCCCATTTGCCACCAAGTCAAACCTAAGGAAAAAGAACAAGACATATGGGGTGAGTTATCTTGATTCTGTAGATCTCCCAACACCCACCTCTTTAATGTAATATGCTTTAAGAGAAAATCAACTTTCCCTTATAACTTTAATATGAAATAGTTTCAAATCTACAGGAATTCTACAAAGAATTATACCATGAACACCCATATACTTTTTCCCTAGATTTGCCAAGTTGGTAACATTTTCCCAAATGTGCTTTATCAATATCTCCTTATTTACTCCTTTTCCACAACTACCTGAGCTTATGTTGTAGATACTATGAATTGATCTACTAAGATAAAGAATATTCTAGAAACCCTTGACACTACAACCATGTCTTAGAGAATGAAGTCAACTTGTGTTGGCAAGAATGTGGTTAAAAAGGAACCCTCTTACACTGCTGGTGGGAATGAAAACTGGTCCAGCCACTATGCAAAGCTGAGTGGAGGTGCCTCAAAATACTAAAAATGGGTCTACCATATGACCCAGTGATTCCATTCCTACAATCTATCCAAAGTACACAAAAACACCTGCACTCCTATGTTTACTGCAACACTACAACAGCCAAGATATGGAAACACCTAAATGGTGCAGAACACATGACTGGATCAAGAAGATGTAGTATATAAACAATGGAATATTACTCAGCCATCAAAAAGATAAACTCATGCCATTTGTGGCAACATGGATGGAGCTGGGAGGGATTTTGCTAAGTGAAAGTCAGAAGAAAAAAGTTAAATATTGGATGACTTCACTTACATGTGCAATATAGAGAAACCAAACAAAAGGTCAAGCAAAAGACAAAACTTGCAAGCTGACCATAGATCTGAGGCATACAGCAGGGGAGAGGGAGGGAAAAGAGTCAAAATAGAGGAGGGAAGAGCACAAGGCACTGTAGGGATGGATTATAGGGGCTATGGTGGTGGGAGAACAAAGAGGACTACACCTGAGGGGAGAAATCAAACACTGTTCAAAAATTAACAAAGATGTAAGAAAATAACTACATGAAAGTAAAAAAAAAAACCAAAAAATAAACTCACTAGAAAAAAAAAGAAAATGAATTGACCTGTAAAGAACTCGATGTACAGGACCTTAAATCTCTACCCCATCTGCCATCACAGGTTTTTGAAGTCTTGTGGTTGTGATTCTCTATTTTTTTTTAAAGACTTTTATTTATTTTCATACAAGAACCAGGGTACAGGCCAGAAGTGAGGGAGGGTGAGAGGATCCACCTTAGGCAGAGCAGGGAACAGAACAGGCAGACTGACGAAATGCACTGCTGAGGGGAGCAGTGGGTGAGACAGGAGAGGTCTGCCCCACCATGTGGGTATCTCCACAGCTGGCAGGGATCGAACCGGCACTGCAGAGGCTGCAGACAGCTTAACAGCGCTGTGCTCAACCACCTGCGCCACCAGGGAAGCCTGCGATTCTCTATTAATAGGAACAATGACACATGCTGGGTGATAGAAGAAAGCCTAGTTTTCACATGTAGAGTAGAGAGTGTGTGGGGACTCACATTCCATCCTGGCGGGTAATGGTGTAGCCATATTCCGGGTAATGGAAAAATGAGACATTGACACCGATGAGTGGCGTTCCATCAGCAGTGAGTACTTGGCCTCTGATGACGGATGCAAGACTGTGGGAAAAGCAGAAGAGTGAGAAGAACATTTGTCTTCTGGGGCCAATGCCATCATGCTTTCGAGATAATTCAGCGCAAGGATAACACAACACTGTCCCAGGCTATCCATTGTTATTCACAAAGCCTGGACCTGAATTACTCGGGAGACAACAGCCCTGTAAATTCAGCGCCATTCACAGTCTTTAAATGCTGGTGTTTGTCCTGTGTTTTCATTCATGGCCAGCTGGTTTTTGGAGAGTTGTCAAGGCCAATAACTTCGAGATGACTTTTTAAAAATTATAAATTGTGGTTTTTTCATAAGTTATATATCTGGGCTTTACATGAAAAAAAAGTATACTTTCCAATTAATTCTGAGTCAATCTGTAAATCTGCAGGGACCAAGAAGTAGGAGATTTAAAGGGGCAATAAGGAACATTTGTGCAACAACTTTTAATCAACTGCTGGGCCTCACTGTGTTTATGTTGTTAAATTACTGCAGACCCAGGAGTTCTGGATAAATCATCTTCTTTTGCTCAGTGAGACACAAGACACCTGCTTTCACTTACTGGTTTATTTTCAGGTCATTACTGCTCTGTAAAGCACCAGGCACACAGCTCATGCAATCTTACTGCCATGCCGTTAGCAGTTCCATTACATTAATTCATAATTTATATTATTTAGTGAGCTCAGCTAAAAAAAAAAAGTGCACTTCTGTTTTGCCTTTTGGGGTCCTTTCATTGCTTTTTTTTTTTTTTTGAAACATTTCCAACTGTGCTAACAAAATCACCTAGTTAAATGAAGATTTATTGACTCCTTAATGGGATGTCCTGTTATGCTTTGGATACTGAAATTGACAAAGTATGTGAACTGTGTCAAAAATGCTTGAAAGGCGAAGTTTGGTGAAAAATTTGCCAAAAGAGGAAAAATTGCATTAAAAAAAAAACCCACTTTCATTCAATTCAGTTATCAGCATTTCCTATAAAGTGCATATAACCACGGAGATTATCCCTACACATCTATATAAGGAAAAGAAAGAGGTATTAACCTCTTATTGAAAGGACTTTCTCCAGGTATAACATGGGTGCTATCAGATCCTATAAGAAAGCTGATTCGATCGTAGAAGGATTTGGCAGCTTGCTGAGATGGTGACTGTAAACTCTGGCTGATGATATCCTGAGGGTCAGGCAACCCGCGACAGTAGGGTTGATTTTGGCAGGAGCTTTGCAAACAGCAATCAGGGTCCATGCAGTCAGTGAGTCCATCTGCAGAGAGAATTGTACACCAGTAAGAGAATTCCCCTCTGATAAAGAAATAAGTTTTGTTTGTGGGTTTTTTTTTTCCAAAATCAAATAATTAGTTCCCCCTACCTGAGTAATTTCTATGAGACATACTTTTTGGAAAGAGGTGCAGTATAAATTCAGTACTTACAGCTGCTTTCCTAGACAGTAAATATTTGCACTGAAGATGACGGACAAGAATCATATAGATTGATTCTGAGTTAGCAATAAAAAATTACTGGCTAGGACAACCAACTAGTGGTATGAAGGGATATGGTTTCAGGTGAAGTATAATTAGGCCAGCCTTCTATATTTTATTTATTTATTTATTTATTTATTTATTAGTTTGTTTGTTTGTTTATTTATTTATTTATTTATTTATACATACATACATACAAGAGCTGGCGTACAGGCCAGAGGTGTGGGGCGGTGAGAGGATTCACCAGAGACAGAGTAGGGAACAGAACAGGTGGATCTACTGAAATACACTGCTGAGGGGAGCGGTGGGCAAGTCAGGAGAGATCTACTGCACTATGTGGGTTGCTCCCTGGCCGGCTGGGGGATCCGAACTCACGCTACAGCAGCCTTCCATATTTTAGACAAAATGTGAACACGGAGTATAGTCAAACAGCTAGCCACCTATAAAAGATGATGACTAAAAATTGGAAAAGCATCAGAAAATGAAAGTCTATGAAATAAAGCAAATACAAACATCAAATAGATAAGGCTGGCCAACCACGATTCAAGGAGACAGCCGTCCCAAGGAAGGTTAGTTAAACAAAAGGAAGGTACTTCTCAAACTTGAAACAGGAGACTGAGCTGCTAGTGTCCCTCCCCTAAAGTGGGATGTTAATTAAAAATCTGCAAATATGCATAAGTAATCATATTGGAAATGAAAAGAGACCGATGATGAAAAATTGACCGATAGTGTTGGTGATATAAAAAGAAGTAATGGATAGAACAAATTTCCTAGGCCCTTTTCCAGGAAGGGAAAGCATGTTCTGCATCCCGTGTATTCTGTTAGAAACACATAACAAAGTACAAGAGTGTCAGGTTATAATAGTGGATGATGCCCTTAAAGGTCTTCACTCGCTAACCAGAGGATTTTGATCTGTGAATTTTGATCTGTCTGGAAATTACTATATTTCTCAGTATAGATTAGTACAAACATCAATATCTTCAAACCTCAGTATCTGATCTTGGAGTGACCCATGCTCTTCATAAGCTCAACTGAAAATATCTAGTCACCCTATATGTCTTCTTTAAGGGAAGTTGTTTTGGAATAATTTTTATTATTAAAGAATGCAGGTGAAGTCCTTTTTTTTTTTTTTTTTGCTTTAGGCTATACTTATCAATGGAATACAAGCTTGCTCCTTCATTATCTGACAGCAACAACTACAAATAGGCTACTTTGAATGATACTGCCCAGCCTAGAAGTAGGTCAACTCCCCCACGGGTAAGATAAGAAACAAGATGGCAGGGGCGGGCTCACGGTCCCTAAGTCACCTGTGGTTTCCTCCTTAAGTCGTTCCCTTTTCTTTGGACAACAGCGCTAAGTTTTCTTTTGGGTCTCCAGCCCCCCAGTGCCCCGTTCATTTCCCGTTTGGTTCAGAAATGTACATGTGACCTCACTTGTCTACCAGGAGCAAATCTCAGGAACTACCAAGGAAGAGATCCCGTCTCTGTCTGCCCCCACCAGCTTGGGGCCCTAAGGCTGGGAGAGTAGGGCCAGCAACCCCCTGCTTTCCCCACAGGAGAGCCTGTCTGGGAACAGAAGCCTTCCCAGAAGCAGAATGAAGAACTGGATAGAGAAAAGACAGCGGGATGTAGTGACATCTTTGGGGGTTTTGCACAAAATTGCACTCACTGCTTGGACACCATTTTGGGTTGGATTTTCCATCATTTGAAACTCAAAGAGCCTTACTGTGTTTTTTCGAATTGCATTATTATAATGGTTTTTGGAGGTAATGGTAGTTTGCAACACTGTATATGATTTAGGAGGGTGGTTCACACCTCTTCAGATGTGTGTTACCATAACACACCCACATGGACACAAGGCTCCCTGCCCCTCCTCTTCCCCTTCTGGCAGCCTCAGTTCTGCTGTCAGATTTCTAGGGTTTTGGTTTACTTGTTTCTATTTTCAAAGAGACTTAGTTTATCTAGAAAGAGTAACTAAAAATTTTCCCTGAAGATGAAAGCAAAAAGCTTAATAAAGTGAACACTTGAGTTAGATTTATGGCACTGAATTCTTTTTTACATTAATATTTTAATTTTGTTACTGTAATTTCTACACACATGGAAATGTAGGAGTTAGAATTTCTGATTAGCAGATCTTATTACATATGTTTCCTTATTATAGTTAGATTTTCATGTAGATGTCTTACATTTCTTGAGAAAAGCATGCTAATTATTTGAAACTGCACATTCCTTTGACAAAAATTTAAAATCATGTTTGAGAAAATCAAAAGCAACTAAGTTTTGCTATTTCACACATATTTACCAAAATATTACTTTCTTAGCCACAAGGCCAGGAAGATGAAAAATGTCTAAATATGTCTCAATATTTCCAGTGGAAGAAAGATAAAACTATGCTGTAGGCTTATTTTTCATGGGGCTACATTATAATAACGCAATTCACTGTGTTTTCTTCAGCTCTCTCAAAGAACTAGAAACACAGTAATTAAGACTCAGATTTTAAAGTGGTAGACGGCTGGCTATTGCCCCCGTGTCATTTTTTGCTTCAAAATAAAATAACCCTTTCCGGAATATGTCTTTTAATGATAGACTGAAGAGTCCTCACTCTGTGGATTTAGAGTAGGTGCACGTATGCTTGGAGGGAATAATTTAACACAAACGTCTGCTATTCCAGCAGTTTCCCCCCTTGTACTCATTCTTGAACTACTCAATAGGGAAAGTCCTTTCTGAAGACTGTATTTTATCTTCATTGATCTGGTAAATTAAGGGTTAAATACGCCTTCCTCACCTACTCGCTCCCACACTATCTCCCTTTAGGCACTATATGGTACAGTTGCCAAAGAGGAATGCTCAAATTTAGTCATTCATCTTTGTTAGTTTATAAAAAGCAAATGTACATCTGGCATGTAGTCTGCAGGTCATAAAACTGCATGAGATTGACACCTTCTGAACTAATCAGTTGGAAATGCATTTTTACAAGCCTCTCTGCTAACATCAATCAGAGAAAGAATCTCATTTTCAACAGCCAAGATTCAGGGACACACTGTTTGTTATTTTTCTGCAGAGTTTATCAGTAACTTGCCCAGGCAAGTGACGGATGGTTATGAATCTGGCTCCCTATAACTTGAGAAAACATTTTTCATTCTTTGTGCTTTTAGAGCTAGGGCGATCCAGTACAACTAAGTTGATTACCCACTTGCCCAAATGTATATTGTAGTAAAATTGTCTTTGTGGAATAGCTTCTCAAAATCATCGAGATTCCATTTTAGTCTCAGGAATATTAGGTTGGCTCAAATTTATATTGTCAGAGAAGCCATAGCTAATAGAATTTATCATAAAAATTCTGAAGAGAACCAGAAATGCTCAAAACCCACAGAATAACAACTTTAGTTGTCAGTTAAGTGCCTTCCAATACAAGGGGTACTTTGATGTAAAGTACACAATATAGTTTATGCTTCCCTTCACTCGATCCTTAGCATTATTGCTCTGGTTATCATTTTTAAACATGTTCTTGTCCTTCCTTAGGCTGTCATCAGACTTTAACAGTAGTTGGCAAACTTTTCCTGTCAAGGGCCAGATAATAAATATTTTAGGCTTTGTGGCCATACAGTCTCTGCCCTGATAGACAACAGATCCAGCAAGCTCACCAAAAGCAAATATAAGCAAATGGGAATACAGCCAAGTCAGAAGCTTTTGTACCATAAAGAAACCACAATAAAAATATAAAGGCAACCAATGGACTGGGAGAAGATATTTGAACATCACACTTTTGCCAAGGGATTAACTTTCCAAAATATATAAAGAACTTGTACCACTCAACAACAAAAAAACAAACCCGCCAGCCAAAAAATAGGCAAAAGACATAAATAGATATTTCTCCAAAGAAGACATACAGATGGCCTAGAGGCACATGAAAAAATGTGCAACATCACTTATTGTTAGGGAACTGTAACTCAAAAGCACAAAGCTGTATCACCGCATCCTTGTGAGAATGGGCCATATAAAAAAGACCAGAAACAACAAGTATTGGAGGGGCATGGAGAAAAACGAAATACTTGTCGGTGCAGCCTCTATGGAAAATGATGTGATGATTTCTCAAAAAAATAAAAATGCAAAGTGCACACAATCTACAAATACCACTGTAAATACCCAAAGGACATGAAAACATGAATATAAAAAGATGGATGCACCCTCCCATGTTCATAGTGCATTATTCACAATAGCCAAGACATGGAACCAACCCATGTGCCCAGGACAGATGACTAGAGCAAAGTGTGGAATACTACTCAGCTATTAAAAAGGATGATGTTGTGCCTCTTGGGACAAAATGGATGGATCCTAAGTGATTATGCTACGTGAAATACACCAGAAAGTGAAAGGTAATTACTGGATGTCTTCACTCACTTGTGGGACATAAATAACCAAAGAAAACCAATTGCAAAGAACAGCAAAAATAATTCATTAGTACTGTGAAAAATATACTGGTTGTCAGAGAGGGTAGAGTCAGGGATGGAAGAAGAGTTGGGGAAGGAAGGTAGTGGGGACTGACAGTGCAGCTTTGATCCAGCGTGAGAGAGACATGGGCAGACACAGAGGGCTGAAGGTGACTTCCCAAACTATGTAATGTAAATGATTGGCAAATCAATAAAATTTGAGGAAAAAAGGACAACATGTGAACAAGTAGGTGTGAATGTGTTTCAATAAAACTTTATTTACAAAAATAGGCTTTCTCCCAGAAGTCATACTTTTTGCCAACCTCTGATTTTGCCTTGAAGTTTCTATCCTGCCCT